CCTTTAAATGCACTCACTCTAAATCACAAATAGGTTAAGTGTGATTTCCCCTTTTGTTTATGCCATCAACTATCGGGTAGCGCTTAACAGCTGAAGCAAACAGGGGTAAAGAGCCAAACTAACATACAGCTATTGCCATCAATATATCCAACTTCTCTGCCACACTATAAAGAACATGGATGTATGGACCGTAAACAACTTTATCTGGCTAAGAAAATTCATCCTACTTAATTTCTGGAGGAAATGACAGCAATTACCTCATTGCAGAAACGAAGAAAATTCATCCATTGATCTAGGGTTATCACTTTGTAGTCACTCTGGAACTGCCAAAAATCAAGTCCAAACAGCATTAACATACTAACGATCAAATAAAAAGATTCATATTTTACCAGCATGTTCCTTAACTAGTTCCTCACCTTTAGATACTGAATTAGTAGATCAACTTGAGGTTGAAATTGGGACCCCAGAACAAGATTCAACAACTCACAAATGCTCTCAATGTCAACAGTCTTTTGTTTCTCCTCTGCAGCAGTTGATTAATGTCATATTCATATACATGTTTTTTGGCATAACATCATGTTCATATTGAAAATAAATAATTCCAAGAAAAAATAACTAGAAAGTCAATAAATTGCTTTAATTAAAGCACGCACCTGTTAGACAGTATCGAAATGCAAAAGAATAGAAATCAGCAAAATTTGGTGGTGTCCTCACCTTTTCAGATATGGAAAAAAAAAAAATGAATGAGAAAAATTGTATTGCCACAATTTCATTACAGAAGAACTTTGAAACAAATTCAACAACAGCTCTAGTAAGTATAAGTACCTCGCTCTCCAGTTCCGGAAGTGCCTTTTTAAGCTCGCTAAGAGTATTTACACCCAAAGCTTTCAGACCTGTCCGCCACTCATCCTGGTTTAGGGAGGAACAAAAAACCAAAAGGTTATTGATAAAGGGATGTATTAAACAAGAAAAAACAGAGAAACATTAAATAATCACTGTGCTTTTAATCCAAATCAACTGAGAGCAATGTCCAGATTGGACCATCCTAGTATGGAATGCTCAATGGCAATGTAGTATAGATAGTGATTCAACTTACCAGGGTAAAATACCCTTGCTTTTCAGCTTTTAATTTCCTGAGATATACACAGGACAGAAGGTTAAAAGATAATTACACTGTAGTAGAGAGTCAGTAACAATTTTGCAACATAGAACATACCACGCAAACATCAATATCCTGACATCAGTGTAGTCCACTCCCAGATCTGAACAGAGTGCCTCAATTCCTTCTGGACTGCACAAGCAAAACAAGTGAATTAGAATGAGGGAAAAACACAAAACTAATATCTTCTGAAGAAATTCCATAACATCAGTGAACATCCACTAGGTGTCATCTATATTGGGTTAATTCTAATTTGTGAATAACCAAAAATCTTTTGTAGCACATTAAGAAAAAAAAAAAACATCAATGAACTCTGAAGTTCAATATAACACCAGGATCAGAAAAGCAAAAGAGTTGCAATACTGTTAGACATAAAAAAGGCCATTAATGCTAACATCAAAGATTGAGCAAATATAAGCAAATGCAATTGGGACTTTGTGGATATGGGAAACGAACAACTATCTGCAACAGGTAGTGTAAAACGCAATATTAAAAACTGATCCTTGTGGATATATAAAAAAAAACCTTCATGGTATATACTCACTCAATCATTTGTATTGAACTATTTGCATATGAATCAAAAAGTTGATCAATCTGATCCTTTTTCGTTTTAGCTTTACTTGAGGCTGAAAAGAAAATAGCATCATCAGGTCAAATAATATCAAAAGAATTTCCCAATAAATGTTATTCCAGAATATAAGATAGCCAAAATATAATCTATAGATGTTCTTCTACGGTGCATAACAATTTAAAATCCCAATTCGATAGCTTCAATTAAGTCACATAAAAGTATCAGAAATCAAGAAACTATCATGCCAAACATTCTATAAATATCAAATAAAAGCCGCCCCAAAATGTAACAATCTGGGACTCCGATATATCTCTTGTTGTATAACCTATATACTAAAAAAATTAATGTAAAAAAAAGAAGCTAATATTCAAACCCCCTTAAATCAAGGCATAGGCAATTAGGCATAATAAATTAACTAAGTAATTCCCACCATCAAACAAAATATGAGGAGAAAAAAAATTGCCAATTCAGGCCAATCCCAAAATATATTAGAAAAATCAATAAAAAATCGAATTAACCTATTATATGTCTCTCTTCTTCTTTTTTATTTTCCCACTGTTTCTCGCCAACCAAACAGTCTCCAATTAAACAAAATCAGAATCTTTCATCGAAACTAAATTTCAATCAGTTATCGCAGTTCTTAATAGAAGTTTTGAATTGTCTTTATTCTCCTCTTCCCGCGCTTTCTCTGGTAAAAAGAAAAAGGGAGCAAATTAACATTGCAAAAGAAAATCTGGGTACCAGAGGAATGATCGTCAGTCGATCCGGCGTTAGCTGGGACCGTCTTTTTCTTTGATGATGAACGAGGAGGCATGGTGAATAAAAGCTGCGGAGCAACAACAACAACAACAACCGCAGGATTAGATGACCAAGACTGTATTCAAAAGAATCAAGAACACTAGATCGAATACGGCTGCTGTTGTATACTGAAGAAAGGGAGTTGCAGGGTTTTGAGTTTTGAGGGTTTTATAGTCGAGGAAGAGAGAAAGAGACGATCATAGTCCCATAACCATTGGAACTTGGAGAAGGTTCCTAAGTAGTGTCCTTACCCGTAAGGGAAAACATTCCATTGGGCCCCAGAAACAGGTAGTCTTTACATTATTTTATTAGTCCTTGCGCTTTGACCGACAATGTAATATGGTCCTCATTGGATTTCCTTCAACTTTAGATGTTTTTTTTTTGCCTTTAGAAATTGGGTAATCAAATTTCAACGCTTTTTTAGGTGCAAATGACAATGTTTTAATTGCTAGTTGCAGAAGTGATTATTAATGCTCTATTTGGGAACATGAATTTAAGAGGTGAGTATTTGAATTTGAAGTTATAAAATCAAATATATTGTTTGTTTTTATAAAATATAAGTGTACTTGAATTTTAATTTAAATATATGTATTTTAACCTATTTATTTCAAAAATTAAATAGCATTCATTATAAATATCCTCTTATACTCATGAATTTGACAATAGATTTCAAACTCTCTGCTCATTCTTTACATCTTTATCTATGATAAGATAGTTTTTCTTCAATGAACCTCCAACGATCACATTCAAAAGTGGTGGGAAATGTCAAGTCACTTATGGAGAGGTAGTTTATTGGTAGTGATATCGGGACTTCCATAAACTTGGATTTTTTGAGTTGACGACTTGAGAGTGGGTAAAATGGGCAATGGCCAAGTCAAGAGAAAGGCTGGACTTCTCATAGCTCATAGCACCCATGATGACAACAAGCTTGTATTTTTATTTTCTGGCAGTGGGCGATGGTGATGGGGATAGCAAAATTCATATCGGGTTATTGTGAGCAGCGGTAAAAATGTCTATTAAGATTGTCTATCAAGTGTTTGTAGAAATTCTTCAAGGAGAGAGATTAACATCAAATTAGTTTTAGTTTCACAATAGTTCAATTTATCCAAAGTATGTGTTTTATTAAGTATTTACAATATGTATGTTTGAATTACATGTATTTTAAATACATGTATTTAAAATACACATATCGAATTTAAATTCAAATTCTCAAACGCAACTTAAGAGATTTTGAATTCAAATTGTGTAATATATAAATGAAATGAGTTAAAAAATACTTTGATGAGGAAAAATTACCCTTTATTATGGAACTCATAACAAAAAAAAAAAAAAAGAAAAAGTATTGGATAAACTTCTACCAAATCATCCATTAATGTAATAGCATGTTAATATGCTTCATAGTTCCTATAGAAGAACAAGGAACAATTACACATGCCCTAAAGTGTTACTCTTTGACCTTTCATTTGAATTTTTATAGATTTCATCTAATCTTGCTATCCCGATTGAGCTTTACCAACTACTTAAATCAAGTTATGTACATCAACACTAGTAAGTGTGATGAATTTCCCTTTTTTTTTAAAAAAAAAAAAGAAGAATAAACATAGAAGAAGTATTATGTTTGTGTGTGTGTTTTTCTAAATAAGAAGGAATGATTGCATTTTTTATATTAATTGGTATTGAAAAATAAAAAATTTGACATTAATTTCAATATCAATACTATGTGGATCACGTTAATATGGCAATTGATTAAATAAAAGTAAATTTTTGTTTTTTTAATACCAATTAATGTTAAAAAGTTACAATAATTACACACATAACTTGTGTTTTTTTGAAAAATCTTATATATATTATTATTTCTTTGATTTTTCTTATAGAAATTTTCTTTTAATATGCAATCATATGTAGGCAAAATGAAAAGAAAATCAAAGATTCACAAACTTCTTCTAATGAGGGTTGTTGATTCCAAAATCTAATGAACTTGGTTGCTTAAAATAGAAGTCGAGGTAATGCATTGCATTTTTATTTAAAGCTGAAGAACTAGTTGGCCATTAATTAATGTACTCAAATTTAAACACATATATATTAATAATTTATTGATTCAAGTAAAAAAAAATTTGATTTTTTAAAAATAAAATTTAAATTTAATATGATTCCAAAATATTAAAATGTTAATAAGGTCAGTTTTGGCCAGCGGAAGAACTGTAATTAATTGCTTTCAGAATAGCGGGATACTTGGGAAGCCACAAAGGCGAAACCAAACACCCCGAATTAAGCGATCCTCCACCACTGCACCAATTTTCTCTCCTCAAAATTTTGGTATAAAATATCTGTGAATCCTGAATCCGTGTTATCTTCTTCGAGCGAACAACTATTCTTCTTCATCCTCCGTCTCTAATGTCGCTCCATCTCTGAGGGACCGTGTCCTCGGAGAGGAAGAAGCTTAGCTTGGAATCAGGTTTCAGCTTTCTTCCTCTTCCTCCCCCTTTTGAACCAACTAGGTTCTCGTCTTTCCTTCTTGGATAGTTTTCAGGATGACCCCCGGTGGCAGCGACATCTCCTTAGAAAAGATTAAGAACGAGAATGTTGATCTTGTAAGTACTTTGACTTTGGACAGGATAATTTTTTTTTACAATAATTTTATATAATTTATAGATATTATTAAATAAATAAATATACTTAATATCATAAATTTTAAATAAATAAAAAAATTAATTATATAAATATCATCTCAAATTATATTAAAAAATAATACAATAAAATTATTCTGAATCATTTTTCCTATATTTTCATTGTTCACCTAAGAAATGGTGACTTAATTAATTACATAAAATAAGTCCGCAAGAGATACACTAATGTTAGAAGAATAAGAAAACTACATTATTTTTTGTTATGGTATATATATGTACATGAGAAAAAGGAATTGTCAAGAATGGGATTCGAACCCATGCCCTTTCGGACCAGTACCTGAAACTGGCGCCTTAGACCAACTCGGCCATCTTGACATTGTTGCGTATGTTTTCACAGAAAATACCCTTTACTGAAAAGAGTTTTAAGCTCATTTAGTTTGTCCATGCATCTTCTCTATAGGAGCGAATTCCAGTGGAGGAAGTCTTCCAGCAGTTGAAAAGCACGAGGAAAGGGTTGACAACTGCCCAAGGAGAAGAGAGGCTTCAAATCTTTGGCCCCAACAAGCTCGAAGAGAAAAAGGAGTGCAAATTGCTCAAGTTCTTGGGGTTCATGTGGAATCCTCTTTCATGGGTCATGGAGTGTGCTGCCATCATGGCCATTGTTTTAGCCAATGGAGGAGGCAAGCCTCCGGACTGGCAAGACTTTGTTGGCATTATTGTTTTGCTCATTATCAACTCCACCATCAGTTTCATTGAAGAGAACAACGCAGGCAATGCTGCAGCAGCTCTCATGGCTGGTCTTGCCCCTAAAACTAAGGTATAATATATAAATGATATTCTCCACTATACGCACTAGGAAGCTTTATAGTTTACGTCAACATTCTGCCTCAATTTTGTAGGTGTTGAGAGATGGAAAATGGAGGGAGCAAGATGCAGCAATTTTGGTGCCAGGAGACGTGATTAGTGTCAAGTTGGGAGACATCATCCCAGCTGATGCTCGTCTTTTGGAGGGTGATCCACTTAAGATTGACCAATCTGCTCTTACAGGTGAATCCCTCCCTGTCACCAAGAACTCCGGCGATGAGGTCTTTTCTGGCTCCACCTGCAAACAGGGTGAGATTGAGGCTGTTGTCATTGCAACTGGTGTCCATACCTTCTTTGGCAAGGCTGCTCACCTTGTGGACAGCACCAACAATATTGGGCACTTCCAAAAGGTATTATATTTTCTCTTTACAGCGCCCTTGTCCTCATAATGATCCAATATTATCTAATGTTAACATGGAATGCATGTGCAGGTTCTGACGGCCATTGGTAACTTCTGTATTTGCTCCATTGCGGTAGGCATGCTTATTGAGGTTGTAGTGATGTACCCAATTCAGCACAGGAGATACAGAGATGGTATTGATAATCTGTTGGTGCTTCTCATTGGAGGAATCCCAATTGCCATGCCTACAGTTTTGTCTGTGACAATGGCTATTGGATCCCACCGCCTTTCACAGCAAGGTGCCATCACAAAGAGAATGACAGCCATTGAGGAAATGGCAGGGATGGATGTCCTCTGCAGTGACAAAACAGGGACTCTCACCCTTAACAAACTTACAGTCGACAAGGACCTCGCTGAGGTTTGTGATGAGCTATTCTTCAATCCTCCCACATTCTTTTATGCATAGATGTGGTACTTAAACAAGAGTACATTTAAATTACAGGTGTTTGTCGAAGGGGTTAACAAGGATACTCTTATTTTGCTGGCTGCCAGGGCATCCAGGGTTGAAAACCAGGATGCCATTGATGCTTCAATTGTAGGGATGTTGGGTGATCCTAAAGAGGTAATATATAAGTGCCAATTCTCCATGCTAGTTATCTAGGAATTGTGAAATCGATGAATCAGATTGTTCATTTTGGTTTATTGTGAGCTCTATAGGCAAGGGCTGGAATCACTGAGATACACTTCCTACCCTTTAACCCAGTAGATAAGCGCACTGCAATTACCTACATTGATAGCAATGGCGAGTGGAATCGTGTTAGTAAGGGTGCTCCAGAGCAAGTAAGATAATCTTCGGAATTAGTTCCTTTGTTTTACTAGTGTAGTTCATCTACTCTTGGCTTTTAACTGAATCCATGGTATCAGATCATTGAACTTTGTGGCCTAAACGGAGATATGCACAAAAAGGCCCATAAAGTCATTGATGGTTTTGCTGATCGTGGACTTCGCTCCCTAGCAGTTTCTCAACAGGTGAGTTAGACTGATATTGCATACTTGTTGATGTTCTACTGGCATTCATAAAATGGACTACTTTTCTAACTTGTGTGATGTATCCTTTTATAGACAATTCCGGAGAAAACAAAGGAGAGTGCTGGAGGACCATGGGAATTTGTGGGTATCTTGCCTCTCTTTGATCCCCCAAGGCATGATAGTGCAGAGACTATACGTCGGGCCCTTGACCTTGGTGTCAATGTTAAAATGATCACTGGTGATCAGCTTGCCATTGGAAAAGAGACAGGTAGAAGACTTGGCATGGGCACTAACATGTATCCATCTTCCTCCCTCCTTGGTGAGAGCAAGGACGAAACTCTTGCCTCCATTCCTATTGATGAACTTATAGAGAAGGCTGACGGATTTGCTGGAGTCTTCCCTGGTAATTGAATAATCATTTCAACTTCACTCTACACGGAAGATATTTATTTTGACTCTTTAGTAATGGAAAATTGGTAAATACAGAACACAAGTATGAGATTGTTAAGAGGCTCCAAGATAGGAAACACATTTGCGGCATGACAGGGGATGGTGTCAATGATGCTCCGGCTCTCAAGAAGGCAGATATTGGTATTGCAGTTGCTGATGCAACTGATGCTGCAAGGAGTGCATCAGATATTGTCTTGACAGAGCCAGGGTTGAGTGTGATTGTGAGTGCGGTGTTAACAAGCAGAGCCATTTTCCAGAGGATGAAGAACTACACGATTTATGCTGTTTCTATCACAATCCGTATTGTGTTGGGATTCATGCTCGTTGCTCTTATCTGGGAGTTTGATTTCTCACCATTCATGGTTCTAATCATTGCCATCCTAAATGATGGAACCATCATGACCATCTCCAAGGACAGGGTCAAGCCATCTCCCGTGCCTGACTCATGGAAGCTCAAGGAAATCTTTGCCACTGGTGTAGTCCTTGGTGCCTACATGGCTGTCATTACTGTAGTCTTTTTCTGGCTTGTTCATGACACTGATTTCTTCACTGTGAGTGAATCATGCTAACGATGAGATCATAAAAATCAATTTACAGATACACTAACACATGATCTTTGGCATCTACAGGAGAAGTTTGGGGTGAAGCCAATTCATGATAACCAGAATGAACTTACCTCAGCACTCTACCTTCAAGTGAGTATCATCAGTCAGGCACTCATCTTTGTCACAAGGTCAAGGAGTTGGTCTTATGTTGAATGTCCTGGTCTATTGCTCCTTGGAGCCTTCATTGCAGCTCAGTTGGTTAGTACATTTTCTATATATGTCCAGATTTTAGAGGTAGATTTTCATTTGTCATATCATGTTCTAGTTTCTAACTTGATACTTGTCCAATTAAGGTGGCTACTGTCATTGCTGTGTATGCAAACTGGGGCTTCGCCAGAATCGAAGGCATTGGATGGGGATGGGCTGCAGTTATCTGGGCATTCAGTGTCCTCACCTACATCCCTCTAGATGTCCTCAAATTCATCATCCGCTATGCCTTGAGTGGCAAGGCTTGGGATAACCTTCTCCAGAACAAGGTCACTAAAAATCTTGAGCTTCTTCCATTGATGAACTGCCCACATTTTTGCCTACTAAATCTCGACTGATTTCTTTAATCAATGCAGACTGCCTTTACCACAAAGAAAGACTACGGCAAGGGAGAGAGAGAAGCGCAATGGGCATTGGCTCAACGCACCCTGCATGGTCTTCAGACATCACAAACCATCTTCAGCAACAATACTAGCTACCTCGAGTTATCTGAGATAGCCGAGCAGGCCAGGAAGCGTGCTGAGATTGCAAGGTATCGGATCAACCTCAGGACTCCAAACTGTTTCTGGTTTGGGATTAGAAATTAATCTCATAGTGTATATTGTGTTGGAATTTCCAGGCTAAGAGAGCTCCACACCTTGAAAGGGCATGTTGATTCAGTAGTGAAGCTAAAGGGTCTGGACCTTGACAACATCCAACAACATTATACAGTGTAACGCCATTGAAGATGGATTCAGGAAATGTAAATCCTTGGGCAACCAGAGTGGAGTACCTAGAGCAGGACTAACAGGGAATTATTTCTTCTACGGAGGAAAAAAAAAAGGAAATTATACAATTGGTTGTGGATAGTTTCAGTTTGAGAAGAGCATGTGAATTGAAATGAAAACTATAATACATAAGTACCTTAATATCTGCATTTCTCCCTCTTTTTAGCAAGATTAGTCTCATCATTTTTCGAAATCATACAGCAATTAAGGACAAAAAGGTTGCCCTACTGAACTGATTTTCTTGATATTTCAGGTACTGATTCTACTGCTACAGTTAGTATTCATCTCAACAATCACAATACAATTTTCATAAAATTAAAAAAAAAAAAATCCCAATACAATTTCTATTTGCCTGAAAAAAAAAAAATACTTAACACGGTAACAAATCACTGCTTTAGTTACAGACTAAGAATGCTTTTCTAATAGCGCCTCTGCTGCTCAAAATTACTGCCATTAGAACTTGCAGCCTTTGATTGCTGAAACTTTGCGCCTCAGGTAATTGCTCAGGTAGTAATTTTGAATAAAGCTAATTTGGATTTATGCTTTCCGAACAATCACATGCCTCTCCCGTTGGTATTCGACTTCACCTCTCTGGTGCATGATTAAGATGGCCCTTCTAACCTGCCAAATGTCATGGTAACATAAATATAAAACTGGAAATGGTGAACGCTTATAGTCATCAAACTATACGGTATGAAGAAAAAATACATGATAGTGTGGTATTTCTTTTCTTTATATGTGTATAATTTTAACTTATTAAAGGAATAACTGCCAGGTCATTCAACCTGGTAACTTGCAAATTTGAGTTTCTTGCAAGTCTGTTTACCTACTCCTATGAATTTTCTATTTGAGAGAGAGCTCATAACATGGCATTCAAAATAAATACTTACAATAGATTCATTCATCCCCATTCTAGTTAGATCATCAATTAGCCTTCTCTCTGATATGCGATTTCCAATTCCCAATCTTCTCTTTACCTGAGTTTCTGCTTGCTGTTTATGCGTAAAAATTAATATCAACTTGAGAAGAAGCACAACGCCTTCAGACAAACACACACAGTAATGATGGGGAACATCATATCTAGGACCAACCTTTATGTCATTGGCCATCTCAGGAGTAAGATTAATTTGCTGATTTATTCCAGATCGTGCTGCATCCATTGTGGAAACCTTGAAAAGTCTTAATGCTTCAGCCACATCACTTTCAGTCGCAACATAAGACCTGAAATAATGGTTTGCATAAGAGTTAAGAAACACAATTATAGAGAACTTTTACCACAAGGAAAAAAGCTTAAGCAGCATCACTGATGACATATCCCTGGAATCTAAATTCAGAATTCTGTGTTTTGTTAAAAAAATTACTAGTTGATACTCAGAAAGTAGTAATCACCATGTTACATTCAATTATGCAATTGCATTCACTAAATTAGATGTGACTATTAATCCACTTAATGACAAACACTCTGAATCAGTGAAGTTCCAGTTCCCATTCTAGTCCTATGAGCTAAAGGAGACCTAAAGTCGATTTCCTATGTATCATTTTCCACAAAGAGAATGAAAATAAACAGTGAAAGGTTCAAGTCTAATGCCAAAACTTACAGTTTCATTTTAGCTAGGGCCTCACTTAACCTTATGATAGCTTCCAGCTGTCTCACGGTAATGGGTATTGCAGCAGCCTCTCCAGTTTCATTTGCTTGCTGCCTCATTGCCTGCAAGAATCATCAGTTGATAGCTCATGCTATTTGGCATATTAAGGACAAAAATTTTGTTTTAGCAAGCACTCATGTTTAGCATATCATTGTGACTTAATTCAACATGTTGAAACAAGTGCACTTAATGCACAGATCATAGGCATCACTTGGAGGTTGCCCACAGTGAGTTTCGGGGGATTTGCTTGAGCAGATTTTTTTATAGGGCTTAGGGTTTACGTTTAAACCTTAAAACCCTAAACCTTAACCCATCTTCTTTCACTATATGAGAAAGGATCCATTGTTGATATAAAGAAAGATTCAACTTGCTGAGCCAGTGCAAACTTATACTAATAACTTAACTCAACATGTTGAAATAAGTACTATTAATGCACCTGCCAGAAGCCAGTGCAAACTTAGATTCAACTTGCTGAGCCAGTGTATATGAATTACTTAATTCAACAGGTTGAAACAAGTGTTGCAAAATGCAAATTTTGAAGGGACTTCTACTTTTGATCTAAACCAATTTAAAACTTCTAGTACTCATTTTGGTAGATTTTTTCAACCCTCAAATTCAGTAATAACTCTATTCCTTCATGGTTAAAGTAAATACCCTTCTGATATCAACATAATCTCCCTCCAGTTTTTTACTGGCAGCTTCTGAAAGGCGAGGGTGGCATTCTGTTCTACAATACTGTATATACCTAAAAAATTTGTAAATCAAGCCAGTTTAGTAACATGTTAATTCAAGAAAGGAAGAATAATGGTGAGTAAATGATTAAACATTTTATTTATATATACCTCTTAAGCCAGTTCTCTTCTTTAGAAGCTCTTCCATCACCTGAAGCTGCCTCAGCAGATGCATGAACTTTTATGATATGACTGGCTATCACCTAGAAAACAAGCATTTTAGTTTAAGAAATTGCAGAGTTGGGAGCCATAAAGAAGTCATGTTGATAGCATGCAACATGTGCATTAGTGTAAGCTGTTCCATACAAGAAAGAGGAATTGCCGTTTAGCTAACAAGAAAGAAGCAGATCTAATGACTAATTAATTATTCTTGCATTTGCTTGAGAATCCAACAGCTGTATAATTCATTATAAAAGTGGGGTGTTATGCGCTTTCATGACCTAGCAAACAAAAAAGAAACAATAGCATTTTCTTAGGTAGGAAAATGGGGAACAAATTAGATGAGCAAATTACCATACACTACCTTATCTTGGTCATAGATCCTCAGATCTTTTACAATGAAGATTAAATCGAACCTAGAAAGTATTGTTGTCTGCAAATCAATATTATCCTGTGCTGTCTGCACGGTGAAAATATTCTTTTAGTTACTTAATAGGAAATAATAGGTGCATGTCCAAGGAATTAATGAAGATGGAATAGGCAATGTAACCATGGACCTTAAGATCATCGTAACGTCCTGAAGGAGGGTTAGCAGCTGCAAGAACTGAGGTTCTTGAATTGAGGACTGTAGTTATTCCTGCCTTGGCAATAGATATTGTTTGCTGCTCCATGGCTTCATGAATAGCAACTCTATGCAACATAAAGTTGGTAGAACTTCAGAAGCATCAACCAAGAGAATCCATGACCATAAATATCTAAGTTTAGGTTACATTACCTATCCTCCGGTCTCATCTTATCAAACTCATCAATACAAACAACACCTCCATCTGCCAAAACCATGGCTCCTCCCTCAAGGTAAAATTCTCTCTGGTTGCATAGAAATGTGCATTAATGCAAGAAAAATCCCATACTTGCCTTTAACAGAGTAAACCAACAAACACAGTTATGATCTGCATAAATAACAAAGAAAACTTACAGAGCTGCTATCTTGAATAACAGAAGCTGTAAGACCAGCAGCTGATGAGCCTTTCCCAGAAGTGTAAACAGCTATAGGGGCTGTCTTCTCAACAAACTTCAGAAACTGTACAAGTTAAACATAAAAATCACCACCCAATGATCAACTATTTTGTGGAATAAGAATAAGGGCATGAAGCAGCTTAGCTTAAATAAAGTTAGAGGAAATGACCCAAAACTAAATGGAGTGTTGAATGAAGTTCAGTTTTTTTTTGTAGTTTTTGAAGTCACTGTGCCATCACAAGCTGCAAATCAGCGGCAGCAACGTGACAGCAACATGGAGCTGCACAAAATGGCAGCAAATCTTTTGAATGTAATCTTGCTTTAAATGTTTGAAGTTTTTCTTGTATTCGGTAAATATTAGGTGAGAAAAGCACTGTTTTATGTTGTGTTGTTTCTGCTATTTATAGCAGAAAATCAATGAAATTTCTTGAGTGTTCTGCCCATTTTGATCTCTGTTTTTTCTCTCCATTTTTCCTTTGAGCAAAAACTTTGCATGAAGTCTTTCGAATTTCAAAGAAGACAGGAAGGAAAGAGACTAGAAAGCAAGTAATCTACTTGTAAGTCTAGTAGAGCCACAACAAATCAAGAAATAAAGCACTAACCTGTGACTTCGCAGTAGATGGATCCCCCAGAAGCAATACATTGATGTCACCTCTTAATTTCACCCCATCAGGTAAATTCTGCACTTTCAAAAGGAGGTTATGACAACAGGAGATCCTAATAATATTAAAAATTGAAGTTGGAACTTCGAAAAATCAGATCTACCTTCCTTGATCCTCCAAAAAGAAGACATGCAACAGCCTTTTTCACCTCACCATGGCCAAATATCGAAGGAGCAATCTTAGAGCATATGGTTTCATATGCATCTAGGTGTGAGGCAAATTTTTTGAATTCTTCTACCTACAAAGAGTTGCATAGCAATAGTCAAGTCATCAGTATGACCATACATTTCATCTTTACCAAGCAAGTAGAAATGAATGCACTAGATTAATACCAACAACGGGCAGAGAGTATAAAGAATCCAGTCATGAGTGAAAAACAATCTATATAATGATAGAACAAAGGATAAGTTCAACACCCCAAGTATATAACTGAGAAGAACTTCACAAGTGTGAATCAAAATTAAAGAAAAGTTACATAGAATGTAGATGATCCAGTTCCCATAGAAAAGCCTTTTTTGATAGTTTTCAAACTCACCTCTTCTTGTGTGAAAGTTGCAGGACCTCGAGAACTGGCTTCATTTGTTTCTTCCATTCCTACAACCCTGATATAAGGCTGTCTAACAGCTACAGCTCCTTTATGACTGCAGAAAATCATATTCAGAAGTTTTCACTTAAAATGATGTAAATCATATATGGAATCACTTAATCCACATAAAAAGACTCTTACGAGGTGGTTGAACTGGCAGATTGAAAGATGCTGTAAATGCCCATGATTGTCAATCTTGTCCCAGGAACTATTGTCTGTACAAGACGACGATCCACTGAAAGAAGCATGTTTCTGGGAAGCTCGCCAGTAGGAACATCCTTCAATATAACATCAACAAAAATAAAGAAATTAATCCAAGACCCAGTTACGTTATCTTTAAAACAACATCATTATCATTACCTCTGGATTCTCCTGCAGTTTCAATGTTTGTTGATCAACGTATTTGCTCTTATCAGGAACCACAATCCAAGGATCAATTGGGCAAGGCTCTTCTCCAGGCTACAAAATTGCCAACACTCCAATTAAAGCTCTGACTAAAAATAAATGAAAGAAATGAGTAATTTGTAACGGAGGAAACCTGAGGAATATGGTCACATGATCGAGGGACAATTGCCCCACCAAGTCCTGGTCGGCATGGAACTGTTCTTGGACTTTTACAGTTCTTACATATTAAGTTCACATAGGTAGCCTTTGCCTTAACCCTCGAAGCTGCAATTGTGATCCCAGCTATCTTAACCAGTTTTGAGATATATTGGGCCTGCAAATCAAATGAAAAATTATAAACAATTGTATTTTAAATGCATTAACCTAATTTCCAGCAAACCCAATAGATGCAAGCTTTCAACCAAATCTTCAACAATATTGAAGTAAAGATTTTCCATCCAATTTCCTCATCATGGCCAAACAAATTCCATATTATCATCTAACCAAACAAAATAAAGAATTCAAATTTCAAACTTACACCAAGTGAACGCATGGACACTGGATCTTCCTTGGAGTTCAGCAAAATTTGAACCTCGTCAGTGTGGGGCTCCACCATTTCCCCCGAATCTCCTGCTACTCTCATCTTTAGACTCGCCAAAACCTCAGCTGCTGCCGTCTCAAACTGTCAAAACACACAAAGCACCACCTAATCAGATGCATACAAGCATTCACAAATTCCAAACCATAGGAACCTAAATTTCTCAATGATAAACCCTAAAATCTTAATCTAATAGAACACATGCCAAACAAAATCCCTAACACATGTACATGAAATTGGCAAATCTTACCAATGGCAGGTAATCTGAGGGGGAGGATCTGATGAGTGAAGGGAGATCAGAGTCGAAGGAGAGGAGATCTTCGAGGCGGATCACCAGGAACTTAGTGTTGTTAACCAGGCTCTCTCTATACGGAAACACGTTCCTCTCGGTTTCGAAGTTTCTGATAAACTCCTTAAACTTCTGAAGAATCGAGTGGCGGCTGGCGGCAGCTGCCACCTCCGCTTCCGGCGAACCATCGGGAAACTGTGCCTGGTCGCTGTAGTACACTCCTCCCTCGTCCCATCCCGACATCTTCTATCGACCTTTCTCTCTTAGAAATATGGAGAAGCCGTTTTACCCTCTCTCGACGCGAATCTGTGTATTTTGGCCCTTTCCCTTCCCTTTCTACTCTAGACCAGGAACCAGGGTTTGTTTTGGCGGGAAATGAAGACGATTGGTGGCGGGAAACAAAGGGTGTGAAGTGGTAGGGCACGTGCGTCCTTAAAGTGAAGTTTCCACCATTGGATTGTAATTAATGAATCGAACGGCTTTGAATTTTTTCATTTTTACATAAAAATATATTTCATTAAGTATATAAAATCCGTATATAAATAAATTATTATTCTTTGTATAATTTAAAAAATTATTATATAATTTGAAATTCAAATTATATCACATTATACAATTAAAGTCTTAAATAAAAACAATGATAAAATGGACGAATCAAGATGACAAAATTATGACACGAATGACATCGCAAGCCATGTTAGTAATATATAAATTTTTTTTAAATTTAAATCAAGTAATTTTGATTGGTTTCTCTCTTATCTGCTTTCCGTTTCCTTTTCTTCAAAATCTCTGTCTTCCTCTCTCATCTCCTCATTTTTTTGCCAAGCTTCTCCATTGTGTGGACCTCTCCAAACCCAAGAACCGAGCTTAAACCCATCCTGGCAATCGAAACCCATAGCCGTAGTTCTAATATTTTCAAAAAAGAAAAGAAAAGAAAAAAGAAAAACAAAACCCTAACTATTTGATAAAATTGAACCCTATTTAACAGGGACTCTAAATCTATACTCAAGACTTTGCAAGGGGATGAGAAAAATAGAGACAAATGATAAAGATTTAGACGAGAGAGTTTGGATTTGGATAAAACCGTAACAAAGAAAAAATAGGAGAGAATGTAAAGAAGATGGGTATGTGAACCTTATTTAATATTTATTAAAATATATGCTGAGGTGGCATACCACTTTATAGTCGTTCCGTGAAATCACCCCATTTCTTTGTCTTTCTCATCATTATTCCTTAAATAAAGAATAAAAACCTTTTAAATGAAGGTGTTTTCCCAAAAATCCAAGGCAATATCTTTAATATTGAAAATTTTCACCAATCTAACGTATTTATAATCCAGTAACTGTAAAATAAGATTTTCTTTATAATTTTCTACATTTACATAGCAAAATTTATTATCAAGAGAACAGTGTTTATTTGAATCCATTCATCAAATTCAAAGATGCTAACATCATACATGCCAGATGAAAGCTCTTCTTTTCTTTTCTTTCTTTTTCTTTTTTTTTTTTTTTTTTTTTTTTTTTCCAGTGAAGATATTTTGTATCCGAGCCGAAGAAACGAAAATGTTATCTTTAGCAGGCAAGGCATTGTTCAAGATACAATGTGGTTAAAATATGTTTCTTTTTTTTTTGCTAGAAGGTTAAAGTATGTTTCAAAATAATGAAATAATGCACTAACATAATCCCGGCAAAAACTAATTTTTAGTCTTTTTTATCTTAATAAATTTGTAAGTTTTAACTCTTTACCTTTTATTATGACATTTTCAACCCCTTACCTATAGGAATCGAAGAAAATAACACTTATTTAATGTCCTGTTAGCTAACTGTTAATTTTATTAATTGACTATTAACTCTACTAATTAACCGTTAGCATTTCATTATAAAAAACATGAAATTTAAATTCAATTTTGTTTGTTAATTCTGTTAACGAAATGCTAACAGTCAATTAATAGAGTTAACAATCAACTAACAGAACTAACAATCAGCTAACAAAACTAACAAAACATTATAACCTGACGTTAAATAAAGGTTATTTTCTTCGATTTGAATAGGTGAAAAGCTAAAAGTGTCATAGCATAAAGTAACAGCTAAAACCTACAAAGTTATTAAGCTAAAGGGCTAAAAGTAAGTATTTACCCATAATACCCGGCACCTTGGAGTTGTTAGTTACGGTAGAACAGAACAAGATGCGAGCATGGAGAGACCTGATTGAAAATTGATCTCCAGGAGTTAGGCAGTAAGTTAAAAAGGTTATCTCTGTGGCTGAATCTAACGTGAGTACCCTTCATGCTTTAAGTACCAAAGTGCACCTTCTGCTGCATCATCTGCCGCGGCTTTCTTTTTTGACTTTGAAGATCCATAGCATTCCAATGTCAAATTTGAGGCTTCTTCTATCTCCACAATAACCTTGTACGTGAATCTGCAAAAGACTTGAAAATGAGATTCACCGCTAAGCTAAACAAGATAAAGCAACAAGAAAAGAAACTTGTAATCAATGTAACAGAGATTTGCATTGGTTCAGAGCCTTTCAAGTGGAAAAATTTTGGATCTTAACTATTCAGGTTTAGCTAGCTTAGATTATATGAAACAACGATAATTAAGATAAATTCCAACAAAAATAAATCAGCAGACTTTTAGCTTTATTTTGTTTCTTTTGGCTAATTTTTCCAGCTTCTGTTTAAATCCTAGATGAGGCTTACTAACAATCAGAGGTGCATATGATGCATAGAGATCATGTTCTAAATGACATTTCCTAACAATCAGCTTTCCCGGTGCTGTGGTGCATATATCATATACTTACGATCTCAAGTGGCTTGGTCCTTCCTCTGCACAGCACTCAAACACAGGTGGCTTCCAAAAATTGGCAGCACAAATTTCATATAACCGTTGTTTGGCAGTTACTTTCGTTGACTCATCTGAAAAATTAATTACGAAGATCAATTGAGAGTCATTCCATACTTCAATAATCCATAGTACACCAACCATGACAGACCTGTACACGGTGAGATAATCCCACAATTAGCATCTGGCAAGGAATTACCGGGCACTCTTCCAACCACTTCAGATTGAGATGATTGTGGAAGACCAAGGTGTGAGCTGCCCAGTGAGCTAGTATTTGTTTTTCTGTTGGAATGGGTTCTGAGTTTAAAATTGCTAGAAGGTTCTTCCAATTTCATGTTTTCAAATGCAGTTGTGTCTGGAATAGTAACCTCTATGGGCTTTTCATCATATCCAATCAGGCAGGGTTCCATCTTGTTTATTCCCTTTAGAACTTCCTCCAAAGTTTTAGACTTTGATGCATAACCTTGAGACTGCAGAACCAAAGAAAAGAAGGTTTTGTGAGCCTGGACAGGACCCCTAAAATGCTAGGGGTTAAAAGCTAATAATTTCTAAGTTAAATTCAAGTAAGCATAGGAGAAGTATTCTATTTTCACAGGGCAGAGAAACTGAATATAGAGTATGTGACTGCATACCTTTAGCTCTCCAAATAGCTGTTGTGAAGCAATTCTTAGAGCATCTTTTTTGTTTCGGTTGACTGCAGAAAATTCCGAAGGAACACCTTTGATATTTACTTTAAGAACCACCTCAAAATTTCCACCTCTTTTTGAGTAAGAAGACTGCGGCTCAAATTTATGAGCTTGGCAAAGTTCCCGTAGTTCCCGGATAGGATTAAGCTGCACATTGGAAAAACTCTTGACTGGATCCAAAAGAGACAGCATTATCTTCCAAACACGATTCAAGTTGAACCCTGTATCAAGAAGAATGGCACCCAAGCAAGACTCCACTAAGTCACCGAGAGCCTGAGACAATAAATGAAACCTATTAAATTGAGGATCCTTTTTTAAGTTTACAGAGAAGTAACATGGTGCAATTATTTTCACGGACCACTCAAATGAAACAATATCTGATAAAAATAAAATAAAAACATACTTGATTGACTTAATCCCCCACAAAAAGTTGGAACAGAAATGATAAACGGATACATGATTTTACAACTTATACCTTTGGACATTTTGGCTCTTTAAATGATTGTCCTTCAGGTGATAATGATGAAACGAAGTCCGCATACTTTTCTATGGCCTCAGAGAGGCCATGAGAATCTGAAAGAAGAAATTTGTGGAAGGACCGACATACTGATACATTGGCAAAGACCTTGTTATTGACTGATGCTGATCGCAAATCTGTTAGCTGACCAGGTTTTAACTTTGGATAGACTGAAAATAGATATGATGTAATTAAATAATCCAGGACAGCATCTCCAAGAAACTCCAATCTCTGGGAAAATGTTCAGAGTATTAGTAATTGTAGCATGAGAATATATTGATCCAAAAACTGGCTAGTATAATGAAAATATGGACATAGGGAATGAAATACAGTTTTCTTCATACGTAGAGAAGCAGACAAAATGTATACCTGATAGCAGCCTCCGCCATGCTTGTTGTAGGAAGGATGAATAATTGCCTGTAGAAGCAAACCTCTATGAAGAAATTGGTATTCCAATGACTTTTCAAGAACACTAACATCCACTTGAGAAGCAAGTGGCATGTAGTTTTTGCTTGCAATGCAAGCGTGGGTAACTTGGGAAGCTTCAAAATCCACTTTTATGCCAATCCATTGAAGAAATGCAGTTGCAGCTTTGAAGCCACTATCAACTAAAAATGCTCCAACAAGAGCCTCAACAACATCAGCAATTGTTTTCTTATGTAGCCAGTGGTGACCTCTACTGCATCTAGGTTGATCTGGCTGTGAACTGTGATCTTGCAAATGAATTTTTTCTTCTGTTTCTTTGCTACAAATGATTGGACAAGGACGTCCAAAAGTAAAAAACTGACAAGGATCGAATGGTTTATCACGTATGTATGCCTGAAAATGATTCAAATAAATCCTCACTGTACTTTTAATCTTAAAACTAATTAAATATGTATTGAATGTATAATTAGTTTTCTAGTCATGTTATCTGATCCCATCCATCCATAAAAGTCATTAATTATGTTGAAAACTTCTCAAACAGCCAAAAAGGTCAAAATGAATGAATCACCTAGCCCCAGAGAGAGAGAGTGGTCAAATACACATCTTGCATTTGTTTAGATTACACTTTCAGTTAAAATCACATTTTATCTTTCAATGTTTTAGGTTCTCCAGGCCCAAGATCTTCATACACTTAGTATCACACTTTTTCTTCTTTTTTGAAGTTCACAGTTCCACAGATCTAAGACCTTCTAATCACTAAAGACATAGAAGTAATATTATGCACTGGGATGCTTACATAAACATGCACTGGGGTACTTAATGAGACTGGTTCTATCTGTAAGATTACAAACTCATGTTCAACTTACAGAAACATGCTCCAATAATGAAAATCATTAAGTTGAATGGTTTAGAAATTTGATGCAAAAATTGTAATATTATACTACCAGAATAATACCAAAACAATAAATTACCCAATACATTTGAAGAATTTATGATTATATATGCAAAAAAGAATCTCATTCTAAAATTCAGTCATACCTGTAAATTCCTTCTTGTCGCTAGCAAGAACAAATTGGAATTATTTACAGCATTTGACCTTTTCCTAGTAAGCTCTCCTTCATCAAGGGCACCATGCAATAGAAAGAGGTGGCGAGCAACAGCATATTTGAGGAAGGCATCACCAAGTACTTCAAACCTTTCAAGAGAAAAGCGTTCCTGGCACTTCTCTGTAGTGAGTGCCTCTAGAACCTAATGTTAAAACCCCAGTTAGCTGCAGATGAAGTTCATACATGTACTGGTGATGCGTGGTCAAATACTCAGAGAAATGAAGCAACTTAATACACTGCATGACAAAGCCAATACAGAAAATAGCAAATGTAGTTAGGTCTTACCGTATCAGCTTTAACTTCAGCAGCCTCTGGGAATGAAGTAGACAACACAGTCTTCAATTCAATAGCCACAAGCAAGTTCTCCAGGCGATGCATGACAGATGGTAACAAATAAAGTGAACTCCCAACATCTTTGGGGAAGCCTAGTATCTTCAAGTGACAAACCTCGGGAGGCAAATCATAGAAGAACTCATCCAATTCATGTGCTTCTGTTTTTGACAGTCAAATAAGAACATCATTTTACTCCCTTTTTTGCTACAAGAATGATAAATAGTTCCTTTTTTTATCAGCAATCAATAGTCCTTTTACCTTCATCTATGATTTCTTATTTAAGAAGTTTGTAGCTAATTATCATGTTCCTCCAGTAACCAATTGTATTCTTCAGAGGCTAATTCAGGTAGCTCTATGCTTCTAAACCACTGCTTTTACTCTTCTTGTTGCTTAAGCTACATGCCAAATTATTCTGAAACAGCTACAGTTTTTACAGGTTAACATTTTACATCAGTTATGGAATTTGGCATCACTCCAATTTCTGGAAAGCTTTAAACAAAGAAACTTCATCTCATTCAATTGCTTAACCAATTTGTAAAATGACCAAAAGATCTTTGCTTCATCACCCTTTTAGCTTTGTCTACAAACACATTGAAAGATTACAAGACCAAAATCCAAAAATACCATTAGACCTAGAAAGCCACTGCCAACCTCAGCACCGTCTGAAGAATCAGTTAAAAAAGAAGAGGACTTAACAAAAAGATAATCAAAAAGGAAATGGAAACAAAAGGCTACCTGCATCCTCTGGCTTTCGGTTACATAGCAAATTGTGCAAACTAGCCAGTGGCTTAGCACGCAAAAGTGGTTGTTCAGGATGTTTAAGATGAATGTTAAACCTACTTTAACCAAAAAAAAAAAAAAAAAAACCTCCATTAATTCCACAGTTAACCACCCATATTGTCCTCTATATGCTTGCACTTCCACACTTCTTTAAATTTAATTGAAAACTTAGTATTTTACCATTATAACAATAGTAAAACATCAAGAAGTACCTACCTATTAATGAAGTGCTCCATAAAGTTCGTAGCTTCTGAATCTTTGTATGGGCTGTATCCATTCTTTTCATCAACAACGTCAGTAACAAAACAAAATTCATCCTTGTGTGGCACATGTACCAAACTATTTACAACATCAGTTCTACTCCTGCAACCATTTGCAAGTTCCAAGCAATCTGAAGGAGGAATTTCATTCATTATAATTTCTGCAGGACTCTTAAATATTGGAGATGATAAACACCTCCGCATCATTGTCCAGTCAACAGTCAGTTTTTTCTCACAATCATGCAAAACCATAGGAAGCAACAGGTAAAAAGTTGAATTGCTTGACATAGAAAAAGCATCCTTTCCTAAGGGAACAAATTCAGACATGAATTGTGACCGATCTAGGATGACCTTCAAGAACATTTCTTGAAAAAGTTGTGCCTCCATAATCTGCATGTGCATAAAAAGTTATAATGGAAATAGCAAATGGCATAAAAATCTTAAAATGACAAGTACCATTACCTCATCTTTGTTAAATGTTGTAACTCCTAACCGAACAAATTTTGTCATGACAGATCTGCGTCGACGCAAGTGAAGCTCAAGTTCCATTTTCTCAGCCTCTTTTGGGAGTGGAGCCTTGACAAAAAGACCAAATTCTTTGTAGCTCCTATCCTCAGGATATGGAATGAATTTTACAAAATAACAGTTAAGAACAACCGGATTCTCCCCATCAGCCCATGGTTCTTTAAGTGCAGCTGGAACTATCATCTCTTGCAGTTGGCACCGTGAATCTTCATCTGCCAACAAAATGAATTGAATACTTCTTGAGTTCAACAATATACACGACCATTGATAATCCCATATTGATGCCAAAAGGAAGAACAAATAAAAAAAAATCTCATTGATTGACCTTCAAAACTATCCAAATCAGGATCAGCCATCACCATATCCTCTTCAACAACATTATCCTGCTCTAGCAAGAGGTAATCACTCAAGGCACCCGACTTATGCAATTCTTCAATTGCTTTCAGACAAGCATCTTTTTTAGCAGCTTCATTTGAAGATTTTGGGTCGCTGGTAATTTGAGGAAATGGAGCATTTGAAGGTAAACTTATGTGGCAGACACTTCCACCTAAATCATCAAAGTAATAAAACTTTGGTTTGGGGTCAAAGTACCTGCAAAAACAGCCCGATGCACATCAATATATTATAATTAAACAACTACAAGAGAGTGCAAACCAGTAGAGTTGGTTAAGTCCTTTGACAGTTGTATAAAAGACCTATGATCAAATCCCACCTTCAAAGGAAGGGGAAGATAAGTTAAGGGGAAGGGTTACTTCCTTTTGTGCAATCCTTAGAACAATTTAATAAAACATTTAAATGGGAAAAACTCAAATTTGAAGGAAACATTCAGAAGCTAGAATGGCATACTCATCATGTGGTAATTTTGAACAGTAATGATGAAGCAATGAGATGCTATATCCAGCACTGACAGAAGCACCAGATGAATCAACTTTATACATGCTTTCCTCGAGACTGGGAAATGTCTCATTAGATGTTCTAGAAGTAATTTCTGAATCCATTCGACGTTCATCATTTTTGAAATGTTTAATCAAATCTAGCTCCTTCTGGTTCCCACTGCAAGATAAGAAGAAGAAGCCTTATTCTTGTCTACCAACAGAAAGAAAACCAAATAAATAGGACAGGTATATAGTACATGCTTTTTTGTAACACCTGTTAACCAGAAATGCATATTCAGACTGAGGCATTCGAGCACGACCTCTTGATTGAATGAAGCTAGCAACAGTTTCCGGAAGATCAAAACGTATCACAAGGCAGCATGTCTGAATGTCCAGTCCTTCTTCACCCACTTTAGTGGCAACCAAAAGATTCAACTGCCAAATCAGCAAAAGAACAACTAACTGCCTCAATTTACAGTGAAAAAATAATGATTTATATACTACGTATTCCTATGGAGATGATAGTCATTATCATCTAGGTGTTCCCAAACCATTTTCCATCTCATAGAGACAAAGGAACTATCAAACCACTCTATATGAGAAAACTTTTGTGCACATGTTGCTAAATCCATTATCTTGTCTAAATAGCACGTCTACATCCTCAATTATCAAATTGAAAATACATCATTTGATATTTCTTCCTTCTCAAGGGAAATCTCTGTTTCGTAATGTGTAGTCAGCTTGTATGTGGCTACACTACAGACTACAGTTGTCATGGTTGTCTCCAACACAGTCAATACTGACTCCTAAGTTCTAACAGACAAATAGAAAAACTAATGATTACAAAATTACATATTGTGCACATAAGTTGGCAAGTAGAATTTCAAGAAGGGAGACATTCATTCTGCCAATGAACAATGGAAAGAACCACACTTCCAAAATGCATTCTACTCATATTGGCCTAGAGTCCCATATAAACCAAAAAAATATGGGTTCTGCTTAAAGAGTTCTTGAGAATTAAGTAGAGCAAACAATGACATAACAAGAGTTGTTGGTAGTATCAAGCACCACCATGACACACCATGATAAGAAGAAATTATTTGGCTTGGACGTTGGACCTTGGAGGAGAAAGTGAAGGGTCCATCTTGATGGCATGATCATGACATGTAAATTACATAGCCCTATGGCTTCACTATTGCCTCACATGGGTGGCTGCTCAACACATCAGTAATCAATAACTGGTTTTTTCTTGACAAGTAAGACCTAGATTGCATCCAAATATCAAATAAAGACACAAATTAACCACAGCACAAGCAAAACTGTGTGTCTGTGTCTCTGTGTGTGTGTGTGAAAAGGGAAAATCAGAACGTCCTGGCATTTAAAAATGTCAGGACGTCTAATCACAGTTATCAAATGTGTGGGACATAGTGTGGGGCCTAATTTTATCAAATTCAACATGTGGTTATTATTAGACATCCTGGCGTTTTAAACGCCAAGAGCTCCTGATTTTCCCTTTTCCCTATACATATAAAATATAAATGAAAGCCAATACCAACACCTCCATAATACAAAGCATTACCTCTCCAGTTCGGAACTTCTCAATAATAATTTTCATGGTCTTTCGCGACATAGTCCTATCTCCAGCGTGCACACCAACAAGGTAGTGACACTTCCAAGATGCTAGAATCTTAAGATTTTGTAGTATATATGATAATGATCTTGCAGTAACAATCCTATTGACAAAAACTATGCATTTCATGTTTGGCTGTAACCTGAAAAGGGAATAATCAAATCATAAAAAATAAATATCTGTGTTAACTAACTAGTTTGAGAAACTAAGAAACGGGGAATGCTTAAATGCAGGGAAAAAACTAGAAAACCAGCTTTCGGTAAAAATGCTCATAAACAGAGGAAACAATGGCAAATAAAGAGAAGTTCATAGAGTTTTTTTATTTAATAGTGAAGTTCATAGAGTTTAGGTCTATCAGAAGTGGCTGTTTATATCAAAACCTAAAAACTTGTGTTTTGATTCCTTTCTGCTAGCATCTGAGTGACTGCCTGCAAGCAGAGTCTACCCAGTCATTTTCTCCCTCCAACCCCACTTATAATGTGGTCCTGGTCTTCTCAGAAAAACCATTATAGTTCTTCCAAGGTAAACATGACTGTAAATGGACTATTTATACATGAACACCATGATTCAGTTACTAAAATTTAAATGTGATTCATTGCCAATGACAGTCAGAAATTTCCAAATGTCAGAATCTTCTGATTAGAAGCAGCAGCAGCTACTACAAGAAGTTTAAGAGAATACAATTAACTCCCTTTTAAAGGTTAAAGAAAATTGAAGATCACATTGGTGGAACCAATAAAGGTCTCAATTTATGGACACCTTAGAACAAGATCTTGTTTAGAAATCAAGATGGATTTGCCTAACTAACAGTGATTAATTTGTGATTGAGGATTAACATAAGCCGCACATGTATTTATTCAATTCAACCAGTCCCTGGAATCAGACTAATTGAGATCTTCTTTTCAATCATTCTCTTTGATTCCAATGAATTTAGGGACATAACTAATCCATATATGTAGATAAAAGCTTAGGTTATTACACGCTCATCACCTAATAGACAAACATACAAGTTATGTACTAAATATCCAATGAATAACTATGTGTTGACAAGAGATTGGATGAAATACCAATACAATGTCAAAAATGAACAAAATATAGCTTAGAATGCTTAAATGCCAACCTGAAGTTGGAAAGGATTCCAACAAGTCGTAAAAGCTTTCCTGAGAAAAAAGGCTCCTTCAATTCCTCAACACAAGACAAATCAGTTTGAATCCCATCTGCAAGAGTGGCAAAAAGACATGGTTGAGCTTCATCATCAGGTTTGGTCAAACAAGTAGCAGATGCAGATCATAGAAAAGTTACAATTTTAAATAGAAAAACTAATCCACATTTTTTAAATTTAAAGCATACTATATGATGGTAGATAGTAAGAACCTGCATAAATGGAGGCTCCAATATAAGAGTAAAGTACAAGCTGCAATTACAGCATCCCCATACAGATAAAAAATACCTTTCCCAAAATCAGAAGCCAAAATATCAGCAGCCTGAACAAGATATTTATCACATAAAGAGTCATCAGCCAAATTTCCTTCCTCTTCTATTAGTTCATTTCTCTCAGAGTGATCACCCTTTAAGAAAAGTCGGCTAGCCTACAACAAGCAAAGAGATGGACACATTAAAAGAGCCCACAGCACTTTAACTAACAAACAAGCAAGTTCAGCCAGTCAGTTAACAGCAACTGCAATAGATTCCTGCTTGAAGAATTTGGAGCCAAGGATAAAGATAAAATATGGCTAATAACACAAAATTCAGCATGAACATCACATCAACCTCATGATACTAACATTAAATACATCCCACATATTAAGATCAAGTCTCATTGCAGGAAACAAAATGACAAGTTTGCATCCTTGTGGATAGTGTAAAAATAAAAATTTGCACAATGAGAATGCCAAAATATTAGAACTGAACAATTTTAACAGCCTGATAAAAGAACTTACTTGTAAAGCTCCCCAAAGGCCAAGATTCTCCAAGCAAAAGAGTATATTAGCATGCATTCTCAGCAGTAGCCTTTTGATATTACGGATAGACTGATGATCGCCAATCTTCTGGCTAAGTGTTGAGATGCACTGCTCATCACAAAGAAATGGGAATGAAATAAAATCTTCTTCCAAAAGTACACAAAATTCATTAGAGAGCAACATTCCACTCCAGTGTACCTGGTGTTTGATCTCATCAAGTTTAACACGATAATGGATGTAGGAACTAGACATATCACTTGAAAGAGGACCATATTCATACACTTTAACTACAGGAGATGCTACAAAACTTTCCAACTCATCCTTATCTTCAACTGAATATACCTACAAAATAAGGGCAAGTACACCATATATTGACTGTAGAATCCAGAAACTGAGAACAAAAAATTAGTACAGCCATGTAACAACCAATTATTTAAATCCAACAAGAAGAAACGCAGACACTTTAAAAAAAAAAAAAAGGGGGGACTTCAATTGATGACTGTCTCCTTAAATGTTGTTTGTTCTTAAAATTGATGATCATAAATGAAGAAGAGTCAAGAGGAATCATTTAACAGGGGTCTATTCATGGCTACTTTGAGGTAACAAATCATCTTAAGCAATCTTCCACAAATGATATTTTCGTACAAGAATAGCAATTATGCTTAACTGATATCAACTCATAGTTATAAAACTTTTTAAAGAAAAAAGTAACTGCATAACCCATTTTACATCTAAAAATCAAATTTTTCATGCTCACCTTAGCATTAAGTAAGTTCTCAAGACTGTTTATGCTTTTTGGTAAATTTGCTTTATCAGAAGCATCTGAAAGAGTAATAAATGCATTAAGTACATGGTAAATTGTGAAAGAAACATTAGCTCATTAGTCAATTGAAAGATATAAATTGTTGAGCACAGCAAGGGAAGGTACAAGTTATATCTCAAATAGTTCAAGATTCTGAAAAAAATTGCTTACTACAAAACAGGGTTGTAAAAAGCTATAAGTAATAACACATAACAAATATACATGTCAGACATTTAGCCGGTTATTTTCCTATTGCATCTGACACGTCAAACACCTTTCACTGGTGTTATCAGCAAGGAGAGTTATAAATTAATATAGTTCAAAATGGGAATACTCAGATGATTGATCTGGGTAAAAAAGTCAAGTTTTTATTTAAATGAAATGTAGATAATTACTACCTTTCCCAACAACTGGAGAAGCTGTCATGCCAAATATTCGGGGAAGTTTTAAAATGTTATTTTTATAATAAACCTGCATATTACAAGTTAATCTAATATCAAGAAATCAGACTAAATACTGAAAAGAAACTACCATAGGTTCACAATTTGAAAAGTATAAGCAAATTCTTCAGCAACCTACTTTCATAATTTCTGCATAAGGATGATTGCTTGTGGCTTGGGCATGGTGACACTCATCAAATATCAGGAGAGCAATTAAATCCATCTTGATGAAACAATGATATAAGTTGCGCACTAGTATTTGGGGGGTCATAACAAGAACCTGCAGAAAACAGTCAGCAAAGTTTAAAATATTCCACATGAGGATGAGTAATTTCAAAGACAGACAGGAAGTGATGTTTTGGAATAGGCTTCAAATAAAAACAGAAAAGAAATAAAAAATTAAGGCAGTATGAAACCAAACTCGGCCAAGTGTAGTAAATATAACTCAGTGAACTCAATCAGATTATCTTTGTTCTTTACAAATTGTTTTTATTTTGTGAATATATATGAAAGAAGAGGCTGCCGGGGGGCCTGGGGGCCGGGGGAAGGGGGAGGGAGAGGGGTGTGTATCAAAGAAAAACTTCATACAGATAAGATGGTTAACCGTTTTAGGTTGAAGAAAACATCATATATCATAACATTTAAACCAATCAAAATGACTTCATCACCTCATATCGTTCCAGCTCTTTTTCCCAATCTTTATGGTTCTTCAGGTTCTTGGATTTCCCACAGTAAGTTCCAACTTTAAAATCTGTGGAATCTTCTATCACCCTGGCTTGCTACAAAAACGATAACCCTTTGATTCAGAACCCATGAAAGTGCTGAGAAAAAATTCTAGCTTTTACATTAAATTAGGAACAAAATAACAAATTTAGCCCAAAATTTAAATTAAAAGCAATTGTGAGCCACAAAATTCCCAAATTTGGTACAAAAATACAAATGAAGAAGCTCACCTGCTGAACCAGAGCCACTGTAGGAGCAAGAAAAACGCATATTTTCTTCTGAGGCTTCCGTATCATGTTACCAAACTCATGTATTAGTAACACGGCAATGTGAGTCTTCCCACAACCAGTCCCCAAATACACAATAACATTCTCTTCAACGGCTTTCTGGCAGAGATCCAATTGATACCTTCAACAAGAGGAGAAAAAAAAAATCAGAACAAACCACATTCTATGCTAATTTGTCCTCAAAAGAAAGAAAAATCAAAAGAATCAAGCAAAACACGGCCTTTTCGTTTCTGGTGTTTTCTCTTAAACTTTCTCACTAACCGAACAGAAAGCTTCCACCTTTCCCTTAACTAAACACCCAGAAACAAACCAAAGAACAAATCAAATAATAAAGTGTACAGAGTAACCTCACTTTCTCGCAATTTTTCTTGGATCCTTCTCTTTCTTCTCAATTTTTGCTTCTAATTCTTCACCGCCGTCGATCAGGGGCAAGGCTTTTGGACAGAAGGTGATGATACTGGGTACACCTGCATCAGCTCCTCCGGAGGCTGGCCCGCCGTCCTTCATCGGTGGAAGTTCGGTTGAAAAAATTGGCGGGGTGTGAACAACAGGCAGGTGCTGTAATTGGCTGTCTGATTCCACACTGAATGCTGATGGCTGAAATGTGATATTTCCCGACTGTTTCGTCGACAATCCACGACTAAGGTTTAAAATGGAAAATTACAAGTCAAGCTCTCCTAATTATTCTGCATTTTTATTTTTTGTTAGGTCCCTATACTTGATTCTTTTCTTAATTTCACCCTCAAATTTATTTTAAGGCTAATTAACCCCTCTTCTACTGTTCTACTTCTAATATAATTTCCTTTTCTTTTTTGGTTTTTAAACGTCACCGATGGAATTCGAATTTTACACCTCTAAACTTTAATATAAAAAACCCTTAATAAAAGAAAGGTGGCCATCTAATATAATATATTTAATTAAAAATAAATAAAATGTAAGAATTTTAAGTCAATCAAATTATATTAATTTTAAATATTAAGTTTGATTCATCAAAAAGTCCACTCCTCTCCTCCCTCCACCCATTTCAAACCAAACATATTATTCTATTATATTGACTTGAGGACAACTAATGTTATCCCATCTTCGGCTTGTTTCAATTGTCACATTTCCAATGAAAGGGGTCCATATCTAATTGGTACACTTTCTATGTTTGCAAAGATTATAAAGTTTTTGTTCCAGTTTTACCCCTGTTATATGCTTTTGATGAATTTTTTATTACTCATATTTTCAATACACCATAAAAGGGAAGAGGGCAAAAATATAATTTAAAGAGGAATGTTATTGGTAACAACATAAACGGTTTTAAATTTATAAATTCTATAAAAAAAAAAAGTTGTAAAAACAAACATACATTTTGAGGCAGATGGAATAAAAGAAATAAAACAACCCTCTCCTAAAAGGATAGTAGAATACTAGAATCTTATTCTACTATATACAATATATATTAACGGAATTAAGTTAGAAATTAAAATCTGATTAAGTTCTTCACTAACCATTAATACTCAACAAATTATGTATGGATAAGTGTTCCTCAATGCACTCTGATCATAGGTAATTCTAGTAATAGGAGGAGAAAGTTCTCAAAAGAAACATATTGAATTCTTTTGACGATTTTTAATGAAATTTGATTTATTTGTTTTAGATAATTTATTAATTGATTACTCACATTAATATACTATTTAGTATAACAGTTTGAAATTAAAAATTATTAATTTCATTTAATTTGAC